ACTCAATTAATTATCTTAAGAAGATGCTGTAATTTAATATAATTTATTTCATAAATTAATTCTTAATAAATGAAAAATATTATATTCTGAATTAGAGATCTGCAAAAGGCCTATTTTTTAAAAAGAAATCGGGTTCAGGCTGAATCGGGTCTAATATTTTTTTTAAAAATTCTGACCAGGTCAGGCCTTGAAATTTTTTTATATAAATTTATTAATTTTATGTTGAATTTTTCATGTAAAATAAAAATATTTGATTATAATTATAGAAACTAGACGCCATATAACATATATCTTTTATTTTGAGTAATTATAAAAATGAATTTCTATATTTAAATAAATTCGGGCCAGGTTGACAAAACTTTTTTAAAAAAATTTCGGGTTCGGGCCGGTAAAACCTTTTTAAAATAATTTCGGGCCGGGCTTGAAAAATTAGGCTTGATGCAGATCACTAATTCTTATTGCAAATGCAATATTTTTATTAAAAATAGTATTATAAATATTATGACTAAGAATTTACGTTTTGAATATAAAAATTTTATGTTATTAATATAGCAATTTTATGTGAATTTATAAAAAGAGGTCTTTCTCTGAGATTTGACTAATTCATCTAGAATCAAATTTTTATCTAGAATAATCTCCATATAAATATTTAATATTGCGAATCCATTTAAACGGCTTTCATTGGTGATATTTCTTAAATAGGTTTTTAACCTTTTAAGTTGAAAAAGACCTCATTAGTGCAGGTGCTGATGAATAAGGTTTCTAAAATAAAGAGCAATGTTTTGATATTAGGCAGGGAATCTAAAGTGCAATTACACATGGAAAAGGCCTGCAAAACATTTTTTGATCTCAAAGAGTACAAATTTTTATACCAAAATTCGACATCACAAAGTAATTTATCATACGATCCGATAATTCATTAGAATAAAACTCTGAGATTTTCTTAATATCCTCTCGCAAATTCAGACTCAACCGGAAAAAGAAAATAAAAGCTGTTTAGAATAAAATTGTGACTAATAAATCTTTCCTTTAATTGAAATAAAAATGTATCAATAAGGGGAGTAAAAATATTTATTTTATAAGCCTTAATCGTAGATGCATCAATTTTTAAGCGATTGGACTATCTAGAAACTACTCTAGTTTTAAAATTTTTAATCCCAAACATATTAGTTATCACCTTCACTTTCTCATTATATTTACCAAATTAAATGATTTTTCTTTTATTTAAAAATTATAAAAAAATTAATTAAAATTTTAAAACTATCTAATTAGTTTAACAATATAAATTTTATTATTAAATTTATAAATATCTAATTTAGCTATGCCAGAAAAAATTTACAATATATTTTTATTGTTATTTAATATTTTACATATAATTTTTAATATATATTTTTAAACCATGTTATCATTAAAAATTCTTATTTGTTTTTATAAAAATTAATTTCTATAATTTAAATAAAGGCTGGGCCAGTAAATTTTAAATAATTTCAGTCAGGCCAGGCCAGTAAAACTTTTTCAAAAATTTTGGGCCAGGCCGGGCTTGAAAATATAGACCCAATGCAGATCACTATTCTGAATTAATTTTTAATTTTTTCAATAAATAAATGACTATTATTTTTTTCTATCAGTATTGGGTATCATTGGCAACTGTCCATACCATGTTATTGGCTAAAATATAAAACACTATCATCCCATATTTATTCTATTCAATATAAAAACTTTTGCCTAGAAGAATAATTTAATCAAAAATTATAATTAAATATTTCTATCACTAATAAAATTTAATTTAAATTCATTTGCATTATTTGCTGATAGAAAATATGAATTTATATTCTCACTTAAGCAAATTTAAGATTTAATTCTTATTTAATATACATATAATTATTTTTTCTTTACTTACTCTTTTAGTAAAAACGGAAATACGCAAGTGATGCTTAAGAAGCAACAAAATATCAGAGCCAAAGAAACTAATCAACCCGGTTTGTAACTATAAAAATTTACTTCAATGCATCTTAATCAATATTGCAATATGTCAACATCTACTACCTAAAAAAGTGCACCTAATTCAATAATTTTATTAAATACTATATTTGTGTCCAAATCTATTTCCTTTCAGCAATTACACCAATTAGAAAATAATACCCAATCTAGGGCAGTTTCATAAAATATTGTAATTACTATCTCAGACTCCAAATGATAAACATGGAATGGCCCATTTTATTAAATTCCCTCTGCATCTACCATGACCACTAAATTGCTATTGTAGCTGGAACAGTATAAATGTCATTGTAAAAAATGATAAATTTCTATTCTGTAAAAATCTCCATCCATTTCAGAACTGGTATCCTTAAACATTCCATCTCTTTTAGAAGAGAAAATTATTCCTTGTAAGATGGAAATGGAAATTTTAGTTCTTCCATTTCAATATCATTTGTATGTTTAACATAATATTGTCTATTGTTCATGTTTCATAATTTAGATATAAAAAATAACAAGAATAAAAAAATTGAATAGCAACTTGTAGCCTAACATTTGATAATTTTAATATATATTATTTTTATTGTATTCAACAAATACATTAATTAAGATGACTTTTTAAACAATTTATAAATATAATAAAAGAAGTCCCACTTGCAAGTTTTAAATAGTGGTGCTATCTAACAACACTGAGGGAATGTAATCTTTTTAGATGTATAAAAATGATTTTTAAATAAAAAATTTTATTACATATATTATTACTTTTAACTATTATATTGACATAATTTTCCAACTAATAACAAAAGCTCCTTTGATTGCATTGAAATATTAATTTATAGTGCCACTATATTTTTCCATATATTTTTAGAAATATTTTATAAAGAAATTAACCAGTAGCAGTAATTATTGTTAAGAGTATCTGGAAATTAGTAAATAAACAAAAGAAAAAATTTGCTAAAATTGATCCTAAACATCTTTGTTTTTTCATCTAATTATCAACATTGACTTAATTATTAATATAAATTGATTTAGTTTTTAATTGTAAAATTTAAAAAGGTGGGTAGAGAGGTAGGATTAAAATGGTTAAATCAAATTTGGGCAGATATTAAATATTGATAACAATTGTACTATATACTTTTTAGTCAATAAAATATTGCTAATTTAAAAATGGTTTGATTAATATTCATAGGAAGACTAGGTTTGTAGTAAATTATAATTATAGCTATAGCTATATCTGTCAACTACAAAATTGTAACTATATAGCTAAATTAATTTTTTTTAAGTATCTTGTAGCTGTGCCTATCATTAATTATATCTTATCAATATTTTATATATTGATAAACTACCAAAATTCTAGCAAATTAATTAGATTTATAAATTTTGATCACATATAAATTTAAATTAATAAAAATATTATATTTAATTTCCTTGGTTAAATCTTATCAAAATTTTAAATATTAAAAACTTACCAAATATTAAAAAATTAATATAGAAAGGTAATTATAGTTTGTAAGGCCATTCCAAGACAAACCAATTAAAAAAGGGCATTTTTGTGGATCTCTTTCAAATTGAATAACTTTGCATGATAATTATTTCTATAAGGACCTATGCAATATATTTGAAAGAGCAAACTCACATGGGTACATCTACTGAAACCTTAAAAACAACAAAAAATGAAAATAAATGACTAAATAATGATATTCTATTTCCAAATTAAGTAAGTGCTGTTTCTTAAATAATTTATTTTAAAAATATTAATTTAATTTGTTTTAGCATATAATGACTTTTTTATGGATAAAAAATTTTAAAAAATAAATAACTTTAAAATGGTTTTCCCAACCTAATATTTTTTATATAATTTTGTATTTATAATAAGCACAGGAAGATATTAAAAATCAACCTTTAATTATAGAAATAACGAAACATCTGAGATTTATTTTAAAAAATTTTAATTATTTTTAAGAAAGGGATTCAAAGGCAATTTAAGGATATCAAATTGTTCATTCATATATTTTAGTTCAGTTTTCTAAATTAGGAAGTTATATTTTTGAGCTTTGGCCAGCTATACCACTAGAACTAATTTAGTTAGAGCTTAAATAATTAAATTGCATAGATTTTCACAACATAATCATGCAAAATTTCTATCAAATTGAACGAGATCCAAGAAACCTGATAGATATGATGTAGAATGACCCTAAACAATAATATAGAAAGGTATATAACTTTTGATTATATATAAATTTGATTAGATTCTATTAAAAATTTATCTACTTTAAATAATATATGTCTGCAAAATAAGCTTATTTTTAAATAATATGAAGGTTCAAATTTGTTATATGAAGGGCTGTGCTGATCCACAAATTTTTCACTAATTCAATCCAATATTTTCTTGTCTAACCAAAACTAATCCAATCCTAATATTTATATTGATTCCATCTATATTTGCTAATATCATAAAATTATCGATATTTTTATTTAATAAAACCAATTAATTTTCAGAAATTATTAAGAGTATTATTTTTTTTATTTTCCAAAAATAAATCATGTTATTTAAAATATTTGCAATGCTTATGGATTAATTAGTGTTATTGAACAGCTCTATTTAGCCAATCATACAAAAAATATTATTATTTAAGCTTCAAAATTTTGCCAATAAAAGTCCACCCTTTTACCATCTATGGCAAGAATAAATAAGCTTGAGTATTTTATTTTTAGCCAAAATATTCGTTAATTATTAAAAATTGGTTAAATCCATGTGTGTGGCCCATTAGACATTTTAAAATCCTCTTCTTGTTGCATATAAAATAATAATAATTAGTAAAAAAAAATTTAAATATTATAAGAAATAATTTTTTAGTTCCTTCCATTAATTTATTATGAATTATTTATAAAACCAAATAAATTATATATACAATTATAAAAAAACCAGAAAAAAATATCATTTTAGTTTTTAAAATAATATCAGCCTATATTAGTAGTCATAGTTATATATGATAGATAAATATTCAAGATTGAAATTTTACATGAGGAACGTCAGCTTCTAGTTGCTTAGTCAAGGAATCCTTTTCTTTTTCTAATTCATGGTATTTTAATTGCAATTCTGAAAGTATTTCTTGATTTTCGCGTAATGAATCCATTAGTTTATCTCTTTCATCAAGTATATTAACCATAATTTGTTCAAAATTAGCCTCATCTCCAGAAAAATTCGAACCCCTCTGACTAATATTATCCTCTATAATAGTAGGCATAATGCATTTCATTTTTAAACAATATTTAAATATTTCAAGACTTCTTTAAAAAAATTATTAAATCCGTCATTTTTTTTCATAGAGCTTCCATCCACTATAAACATAATGAGTGACGGATTTGACTAATAATTTTAAAAAAATTAAATTATATTTCGAATTTTTTTAGACTAAGAATTATTGTTCATCTATCATTATGATATTGTATTATGCGATAGATATATAAACTTAAGTACAAATTAAGGCAATCAAAAATATAATAAACTGTTAAATAATAGTCAGAGATGTCATTGGTGCAGTTTCAAATGGAGTAATTTAACATAGAGTGCGAGATGGAAGTCATTTTTAAAATCGCAAAAATAGAAGACAAAAAAACGTTTTATTAGCAAATATTGGATTACAGTTTCTATAAATTAATTAATTTTGTATTTACCCGAAGACATTAGATGCAATATCATATGATGATATAATTAAACTTTTAAAAATCGAAGAAAACTAATTTTATGCTAGAGAGATATTATTTTTTCAAAACGGAACAAGAAAAAGGAAACGAATACAGAATATATAAATAAATTAAAGATAAAAGCAAATACATGTAGTTTTAAAGAGATGTATAATACAGTATTGAGGGATAAATTAGTGTCGGGAATTAAGAATAAAAAAATATTAATGAAATTAATCAACACTCCAGACTTGACATGGGAAGAGCCAGTGGCCCCTACACTTTCTGAGCGATGGAAGCAGAATACCCCCCCCCCTTTGAAAAGTACCCCCCTCTAAAAAATATATTTCTTGTCATCCATAATTAAAAATAATTTTTATTGCATCAATCTTTAATACATATTATAAATAAAATGTAAAAAAAATGTATACTTTAAAAAAAAATTTTTTTAAATTAATAATTTTGATAAATTAGGGGAAGAGAAAACGAAAGAATTTATAATTTCATCAATATTTAATTGTTTAAATGAATTTTTTCCATTGATAAAGTGGTTAAATTATTGAGAAATGGATCTTTCATGGTGCTACAAAATCTTGTTTTAATTAATAAAATTTTACTCATGACCCTTTCGGCAGTACATGAGGTAGTAGAAATGGTTAATAAATATTTGTATTACTAGGTAAAGCAGAAAATTTTTAAAGTAGAAGATAAGGTAAAATAAACGAATAGTTTGCCCCAGTGGCGTAGCTACGGGGGTGGTTTTCGGGTTTGGACCCCTCCCAGAGCAAATTTTTTTTTAGATTATACGTTCAAAAGACTTAAAAGTGATTTTATATCAATTATATTACTATTGAAATTATTCTGGATAGTATTATTATAAAGTCATTGAGAATAATCTACTAAATTATAATAACATATTATTGATGCATTTAAAAAATATATTTATTATATATTATAGAATATATGGTTATGATTTGTAAGATAAACCCGGCCGAAGGCCGGGCAAGTTAAAGGGGTTCCGGGGGGCGAAGCCCCCCAGCTTTTATATGTATAGACCCCCTCTAAGGAAAATTCCTAGCTTCGCCACTGGTTTGCCCAGTCTAATTATCATCATCATCAGAAGTAGAAGCTAAATAATGTATTAGTATAAATATTTTAATTAAATAAATTTACAATTCTCAGAATTTGACAAATCTTTAGTATCTTTAACTTCTAGGTCACGAGTAATATTTACTCCCCTGTTTTAGCCATCTTATAAATATTTCGAAACTTCAACATTTCTTCAAAAATTTGATTTGAATTTAAATGATAAAATTCACATATATCTTCGATATCATCTTAAACAATCGACTTTTCCGCCATTCCCTTTGGTGTAAAAAATGAAATTTGATTTATTTCATTGATTCATCATTAAATCTTTCATTAAACTGCATAATAATCAATTCAAAAATCAGGTGCAGCATATAACACTGGTTTTAAAACTAAAATAAAAATGATGAAAGTATATACCTCTCCTTTTTAATGTTTGAAGTCTAGAACATTCAAAATAAAAAGGTAGATTTCTCTTCTTCATAAATTCTTGTGCTTTTGAAAAAACATCCATTTAGTGTTATTATCAATTAGGATTAAAAAATAATAAAAGACAATAATTTAAATTATATTTCTCAAATTAATCAGCCAATCTTTTGCCAATTGAATTTTATTTATTGCAAACCATATATCCTTATAAAGGCTTGTAATTTTGTACAAGCCAAGCTTGTTATCAGCAATATTTTATCCAAAACACAAAGTGATAAAATAAAATAAAATTTTTCTATTCTAAAGACTATAACACTAGTAGTGGAAGTGGTAGAATCCAGAATTCTTTAAATTTGTCAAAGCTGCCCTCAAGGCATCATAAAGTAGGAAAAATTTACTAGTGCTTGTATGATGATAGCCAGCTTCTATAAATATAAAATAAACATTTTAAATCTGAACAAATAAGATAATATTATTGAGTGGTATTTTTGATGCGTAGAAATCGTTGCTATTTTGTCAGTACATTACTCTGACATGTTTGGGCAATCATATCTTTTAACGCCATTAAAATATACAAAAATCTCATCTAATATTCCTAAAACATTTCTGAGTTCTTTAATTGATTGGCATGATTGAATAATGATAAAATTTAATTGATGACAATAGCCCCAAATAAAAGCTACCTTAGACGCCTCCGCCCTAATCAAAGCCTGCACTCCATTGATTTTTCCATTCATGTTTGAGGCGCCATTATAGTTTTGCCCATCTAGGAATTCGAGGGTAGATTCATGGAGCCAAGTTTGGATATTATATTATTTTTAATATCGAGACCAGTTGTATTTCATGTACAATATATGTCTATCAGTCTTTCAACAGGGTTAGGCGTCTCACTATTTTCAATTAATCTTACTAAGCATCTGTTAAATTCAATCTCCTTTTGAATTTTTTTTATAATCATATTTTTCATAGTTTCAATGAGAATATTTATGTTATTATATGATAATAGATTTGAATATAATTTTGATTTTAATAACTTATTTTTTTTTATCCCTTCTTCTTTCTTCATTTTGTTGTCAATACATTTTGACAACAGGTTCAGAATCTGCAATTAGTTTATTAAGGCCCACGGGGATCCTAACCGAAATGAATATCGGTTCGGGTTCAGGTTCGGATAAAAATAACGGTTCAAGGTTTAGGTTCGGTTCGAACCTCTAAAACCCGGTTTGAACACTTTTGTATTCAAACCTACATTCGAATTATGTATAGGGAAAATATTATTTTATTTTATCATTAATTTAAAAAAATACATGTATAAAACCTACCTTTTATTTTAATTGCACATTATAAAATAAAATTTAATTTATAAATAAAAATATAAATATAAATATAAAAATAAAAATAAAAATAAAAATAAAAATAAAAATAAAAATAAAAATAAAAATAAAAATAAAAATAAAAATAAAAATAAAAATAAAAATAAAAATAAAAATAAAAATAAAAATAAAAATAAAAATAAAAATAAAAATAAAAATAAAAATAAAAATAAAAATAAAAATAAAAATAAAAATAAAAATAAAAATAAAAATAAAAATAAAAATAAAAATAAAAATAAAAATAAAAATAAAAATAAAAATAAAAATAAAAATAAAAATAAAAATAAAAATAAAAATAAAAATAAAAATAAATATCAATGATTAATTTTAATATGAACAATATTTTACTTTTTTTGTTTAAATTTTTTTTATTAAGCCACAAAATTAATATATTTTCAAAATTCGTCCCACTCAAATTACATCTATAAGGAGATAGCTTATAAATTTAATTGTTGATTGTTGAAAAACATCTTTCCATAGTCTACACTAACTCTGGTAGCATGTACGATTTGATATGTGATTTATAATAATATTTTTTTTTAATTTTTCTCTAAGCTTTATAATTTATAAGCTTAGAGGAAAATGTTGTTAAATGACAATTTACTAAAGTTTACAAAAATTATTACCGACACTTATCAATCAAACGTGATTCATGATAATCTTTAAAATAATTAGAATTTAATTTAATTTTTTTATTTCTACAATTAAGACTAATTTAAAAAAATATATATTTAATAATATATCCATTTTATATTGGTATGAATTATAAAATTGTAATATTTAATATAAAAAAATTTATAATATACTTCTACGATATGGACTACCTATATCCCTTGTCGCACTGAAGTCAGACATTTTGCAAGATTATCTTTGTCTTTTGTAAAATATTTCCATAATCAAATACTATATTTAAAAGAATTCTTTTATTTAAAGTATAAATAATAGATTTTGCGTTATTATTTAAAAAGATTTAAAATAAATAAAACGTTGGGTGTTCCTTTCTATTTTTATAAAAAAACTTTTATAATACTATAAATCTATTTTAAAAAAGAAATAAAATTTAGAAGTGATTTGCATTGCATTGTTTTAAAAAATTTTTTTTAGAAAATATTATAATAATGTAAAATAAATATACTTAACATAAAATAACAAAAAAAATGAAAAGTAAAAAGATCTGATCGGTTTTTTACAGGTATCGGTCCTATCCGATATTTTTGGGAAATGCTAAATATCGGTGCCGATCTAATCCGATATTTAATATCGGCACAGCCCTAATTAAAAATAATAGTAAATAATTTTTTTTATTTATAATTACTTATCTGCTGGGTTTTGGTTGGTACTAATAAAGAGATACACAATTTATTTTATTGCCTTATGTGAAAATGTGTTTAAAGGAAATATTATTTGCTTATGAATTAATGCTAAGTTTATCATAAATAATGTAATAAAATAGCTAGAAGGTGTTAAATACAAGTAACAATGTTTATTAATGGATTTTGTATTGTAGAAGACTTAAGGCTTAAAACGATATATTATATTATGTTTAATATTAAATTGATGTTTTGAAAAGTTATACAATGATTTTTATTTTAGTATTAAATTGATGTTAATTTTGTATATATACTAAAATGATCATGATTACTTTTTATTACGTTGTGCCGTATAAGTCCGAATAGAAAGCAAAACTCCGAGTATAATAATTTTATTGAATTTCCCACACAAAAAAAATGAATAATTTTATTTCAAAATTTA